AAATGTATTAATGTGGAAATATTCCCTTTCTTCCCACTTATTTCATGAAACTCTTTTAAATGTTCAAGTGCATGTTTTAATTTCTATTCTCTTTATGCCTCACATTTTATTATGCCTCACATTTTATATAACCAGTGTTCATTTAAGTTTATTCATGTAAGTACAACTTTTACCACTATTTTATTATGAAAGTTTTCAAACATACAGCAAAGTTGAAAGAATTTTATGGTGATATATTTTATATCTGTTTACTTACCACTTAGATGTAACTATTAACATTTTACTGAACTTGCTTTATTGTCTATTTATCCTTCTATCTGTCCTTTGTTAATCCACTTAATCCATTTAATTTTTCAGATACATTTCAAAGCAAACTTTGAGCACTCCCTTTAACTACTTAAGCATGCATATCATTAGCTAAAGTACAATTATTTTTACAATTTTTTATAATATAAAAATTATATACATGAAATTCAGAGTCTTAAATATTTGCTGAGTTTTGATTTAGTAGTGTTCTTTTGTCTAGAGCTGCCCCAGGAGGTATTTTACTTTCTTGGCTTACAGAATTACATCTTCGTTTTTGTTGTCACTATTTCCAGAAAGATATAATCAATTCTTGGCTCTATATTATGTAACAATATGTCTCATGTATTTGACCCATTGTTCCCATTGAAATGACCTAGAAACACCAATATTACATTGAAAATTCAGTGAGTGAATTAAACCAGTAAGTGCTACAATAAAAATGCATGTCACAAAATATGAAGGATCATAGTGAAGAAACCTCAAGCTTATGAAAGCAAAAGTTTACTAGCTTGTGTAGTAGAATTTTTAGGTTGGGTGTCATTTGGTACTTTTCTAGTAAAAAGCATGTGATGCCAAAAATGATATAAAATTGAGATAGCAAAGTAGAATATACATTATGTGTGTGGTGCTTACCATGTGCCAAGTGCTGTTCCAGGTGACGGGAGTAGAGCAGTGAATAAGACCAAGGTTTCTGCCCGTGATGCTTGCATTCATGCTCTTAAGTTGATTGTGTTAGGAAGTAATGGCATTGACTATTCACATGTGCCATCATACTTTTTACTGGTAGGTTAGTGTGTTTTAGTTGTTTTTACTTTTTATAAGGGTAAAAGTTAAGTTTGTGAAAGTAGACAAAATAATGTAATAAACTCTCCATGGACAGATCAAGTGGCAAATTTCAACTTACGGTCCAATCTTGTTTTACCTATGCCTTTACCACTTTCTACCCTCAGATTATTTCGAAGTAAATCCAAGATACCATAGTTCTAATGCAAGTAAATATTTCAGTATGTGTCTCTAAAAGATAAGAATGTTTAAAGGGGCTGCTTATGTATAGAAATTTTTATTTAAAAAATGTTTTTGAGTTAAAATGCGTGCAAAGTATGTTTTAATAACATTGGATAATAAATGTTTTTAAAGAAATATGGTAATCCTCATAATTTGTACCCAGCCTAATCATGAGACTAAACATTAATGTGGAAATTTTGACATAGATTTATGTATTGAGTCAAACAAACCCATCAAATTTGCTGTTTTTGGTGACTAAAATGGAAGCATTTCTCATAACAGATAGTTATATTAAATTAGAATTCATAGTAAATTAAGAAATTGCTTATTTTGTAACAAAATACAATTATTTCAGATTTCAAAATTGCAAAGCTAATTTGATATGTATCTTAATCCGATCAGATTTTCATTTGTATAAGTAGACCAAACAGTCCTTATTTTAGAAACTCAGAAGACCTTGGTAGTAATTGTCTCACTGCTAAGAAGACAAATATGAAAGTGTAAATTTCATAGAAGTATAGCTTTCACAAAAGTATTTAAGTTTGTATGCAAAATTTTGCTTTCTACATCCTGTCAGAGTAGATAAATGATTAAGTAAAATAGACTTTTTAATTATTTTTATAATGAGCTACATATACATTTTATTTTTTGGTCTGACTAATCATACCATTAATACTAACTTTGGAGGAGCAAATCTGGTAGATTCTACACTATTTTTGGAAATTCTAGTAGCATCCACAGGAAATTGATACATCATACTTATGCAACAATTGTATTAAATTGATCTACTCTAATATTTTTAATTAATAGTGATATATAGATATTTTTATAATGAGCAGAAGCAATGAAAATTGATTTCATTGAGGTAAATTGAGATTTTATGTCCAAACTCAAGAATTGAAATGCCCACATTTTCAGTAATAGAAATTTTTAATTCTGTTGGTTTCATTTTTCGGTTAATTGAAAACAATCCTGTTATCCTTAAAAACCTTTTCAGATATACTTTATAAGTCATAGTTTTTACTTCTGATTTGTATGTAAACCAATGGTGCCATTGTTTTCTAAGATACTGCTAAAATGGAGGTTTCAAACATATCAGTGCCTGAAAACGTGTACTTTTGTTAGCATTTAGAGAGGAAAATTACATGTTTATAGCTCAGTGTGTTTTGTACAAGAATTTCTAACAATGATGACATTTCTATTCAGGTCTGGCATTGCAGGTAATGTAAAATATTGTTTGAACTTTCTTAATAATATAAACTTTTAGAAGAGAAAGTCTGAAATCTTTGCCCCTCACCATAGATTTTATTGGAAAGAGAAAGAAATCTGTGAATGATATATTTGTATAAGACATGAAATGTCTCTGAAAATGCAGTCTTGCTTTGTCTCAGACTCCTATAGTCATCTTCATTTCCTTAAATCTTTTTATATAGCTAGGGAGTTTTCTTTAAGAACAGATGCCTGTAGAGTAGAGATGGTATAATGTACTTACACCTGAGCACTTTCTCAAAACATAAAGGGAATGCAAATTTGATCTTTATTCCTAGATACAAGAGCTGTCATTAGGACTTTTTAAAAATTATTATTTGGTAAAAACATATAACTAAATGCGATTAGAGTTTTACTTCTTCAAAAGTTTTACTATAAACATTTTTGAATCCTGAAATACTTTCTAGTAACTGGGGGAGTTGAACAAAGAAACAGTCTGTTTGGTTAAGTAAGGAGTTCTCCCTCTATTCATAGGTGTTTAGACACATATACTCACTTCCCCATCCTTTTAAATAAGCATCTACAAACAAACAAGGATATGGTGGAATGGAATTTCATGGTTTCTTGGAATTGGAGAAATCAGCGATTCTACTTTTATTACAAATTTTGAATTAAAATTTTAAATAAATTTTGAATTAGAAAATGATTTGAATTGTAATATTGCTAATTTTGGCTTAATGCCAATTTTTTTTAGCAGCTCAATATTTGCCTAGCTTTAATTGAAATCTGATAGTGTTTATAAGAGTCAATTCATTTGTATACTGCATTTTATATAAATGTATAAAATATACCATACGGTTTAATATCTAACGTACTAAAGAAGGAAACCACCTTATTATTCCCATGGAAAATAATTTGGTAGATCATTTCAGCTGTCAAGTAGATACGAACTATTGATTTTATTTTTCCCAGCACACTGACAAATTTCTTACCCATTGGGAAGTTTTAATAGGATGTAATAATTTATTAACCGAATAGTTGTAGTTATTAATACTAAGAAATAATTTAAGGAAATAGTTTGAGGAATTTAGTGTTTCACTTAGACTTACAAAAGTAGTAATCAAAATAGCAAACAATTTTTGAGCACTTAGTTTATGCTACTGTGCCAAGTGCTTTAAAATCTGTTTTTTGTTTAGCCCGCACAACAACCCCATGAGGTATGTATTAGTATTAATTTCATTTCATAGATAATGAAACTGAGGCTTAGGATGGTAAAGTATCCAGCCTAGACTGTTGGGCTTTATGTTTTGTTTTTTTCATTTTGTCAAATTAATTCATATTGATCATGTCTTATACTTTGATAGCTTGACAGTTTCTTTCATGTATCTCTTATCTGATATTGATAGAAAGGTAGCATGAGTTCTCAAGACCAGATTATTTGCACATATGTGCTTTGTATCTCTCTAGTTCTCACTGTTGGTAATTATTTTTGTTCAGTTACTTCACAGCAGCTACTAACCTTAGACAAGTGTTACTCTCCTTCTGCTCAATTTCCCAACCCCCACAAACAACTCATTCTTATTAAAACTTTAAAACACTAACATATTACTTTGAAAATTTGTTCAAATTTTATATTGGGTTTATTTTGCTTCCAAACCTGTGAAATCAGAATCTCCTCTGTCAGTGCTATGGAAGAATAGCAAAATATTTCCTCTTGATCTTCCTACTTCAGTATTACCTCCCAATTCATTACCGCTTATATGTAAAATCTTGTATTTCTTTTTTTTTTAATTAAGTTTATTGGGTTAACATTGGTTAAAACAATTATATAATTTTCAGGAGTACATTATAATTTGACATCTATATATTCTATTGTGTGTTTACTACACAAAGTCCAGTTTCCTTCAGCTACCATATATTTGATCCCCTTTACCCACTTCACCGTCCCCCTATCCCCCTATATTTAACCCCTTTTTACCCTGTCCACCTTGCCCCTCCTCCCCCACCCCACTAGTTACCACTAGTCTGTAGTCCTCTGGTAACAACTAGTCTATATCATATTTCTTCTTAACAGTATACTTTGACAGTAGATCAAAGGTGTGTGCTATCTTAAATGGTTTTATTTCTAAAATTCCTAGGTAGTTAGGGATTAGAGCTGCTGTAACACTCTTTTTGTATTTTATTTTTTTATTAAAACAATAATATTATATTTTTTCTTTTACTTATAATTGGTTTTCTGCATTGCTGCATGTTTTTTATTAAACACCTGGCTTTCTTCATTGAACAATTTTATTTCCTTTAATCCACGTTAAGACCTTACTATTAGTTATATTCATGTTATCTCATTAATGCATTTTTTTGTTTGTTTATACATTTACTCTATTTGATTAAGGATAAGAACTCCTATGCTTTTAAAAAACCTTTCCAAAACCAAATAGAGAAATTAGTGATTTTTATATATTTCTTTTTGTCTGTTTTAGGATGGCTACCATAGAGTAGTTAATATTGTGCCAAAGAAACCACCACTGCTAGACAGACCTGGTGAAGGAAGCTACAATAGATATTACAGTCATGTTGGTTACCGAGAATATGACGAGGGCCGCAGTTTTTCTCATGCTCGAAGAAGTGGTCCACCTCACAGAGGAGTATGTAAATTTCCCCCATGTACTAATTGTTATTTTTTCATAAGTTTAAAAATTATGTAATTTTTGAAATTTATGTGACTGGCCATGAAGGCAGTTAAATAAACACTTCCTGCTTGATGCCTTGTTGAATTGCCTACTGGAGCTGTCAAATGGGAACTGGTAGTCAAGAATTTTGGGGTGCTGGACAAAGTGGGTAAGCCCTCTGGATAGCTCTATCTAAATGACATTAATTCCAAGTAGCCTGCTTTTTTATCCCCCAAGCTGGCAAGGATTTACAGAAGTAGTTAAAGGCAATCTGTTTATTGCCTTGGTACTCAGTAAGTAATAAGCAGGTAGTTACCATCTCTTACTGATGTGCCCACTTATAATTATTTTTATTTTTATCATGAAATGCTGTGGGTGAGGTTGGGTTAAGGTTGTTAAGACTCAGTTTCACTTTTGTCATTTTCGTTATAGTTATTATTAAAGTCCACTTAGATCAGAAAGCCCTCAAAACGTTGCCTATTCTATAGTAAGCGCTTATAAAATGTTAGCTGCTATCATTACTATTACTATTGCTATTATATTTTGTTTCTCTTGATAATCTTTAATAATCTATAAGTATATTTAATGTTAGAGTTATCTGTCATTGAGCTTGATTGAAACTGTTTCTTTATGCAATTCTTTTGACCCAGCTTGCATGTTTACAGCATTCCTCTGCTAGACTTTCCTACATTTTTTCCCCTTCCCTACTATATAGCATTGTAGTTAACAGACCATATTCAAGCATTGCTTATGATAAAATTTGACCTTACGTTGGCTGTTGGAATTAGTTTCCTTACTTTACACTTGAAGAAATGGAGGTAAGGTGATTTACCTAGGGTGGGTATATATGGGAGTTCAGTTCTCTTACTACTGTATCATGGTGACCCTGATAATTCTATAGTGGTAATGAGACCATTCAATGTTTTCTTGTGTTTGTTTTTAAATTTTGGGGTGTTACAACTTATTCACTTCTCATAGAATTAATTTTTATTTTGTTTAATTTTTAAACGCCGTTCCTTTAGGAAGAGGGATTCAGTGTTGAAAAGTAATTACACATTATCCCTATTCTAGAAACACTGGATTTTGCCATCAGAGCCCTTCTTCCAGGTAGTCTTATGCAGAAACTATTTGGCCTTTGCATAAAGTTATTCCTATTGTGAAAATCCTGTGGCCATTTAGCGCAGAGAGGGAATTTTGGATTCATTGGACCAATTATATTTGAATCCTCACAAACATAATTATTTTCTAGAATCTTGTGGCATAAAAGTGTCTCAACAATAATTTTTTTTATTATCATTACAAATTGTGTTTGTTCATACTGTATGCAACATTTTCTCTTTAAATTTTCTCCAAACAAACCCACTTGAGATCCTTAGGACTCTCATGACACTAATTTTTATCTAGAGTTCAGTTATCTAAAGCAAACTACTTACTTGATCCAATATTTTATTACAGCTGATGAGTTTTTCTTTTGTTTATATTTAATGTTGTGAAGGAAAATGAGGAATACATTTTAGTTATATAAGAGTAGCAGTATGTGATGCTAAAGAGAGAGATGAAAGTAGTGTTTATTTTATCTGAATCAGTATTTCTGATTAAGTAATTCACATGTTATATTGTTCTATGTGTAATTTTAAAGTATTTGGGTGTAGATTTCTATGTAGTTCCTTTTATTGCATCGTTTAGAATATGTCCTAGATGACAAAATGTACTTGCTTTCCTTGATTGATTTTCAACTTTGTGCCACATTTTGCTCTATTGTAGCTTATCAGTGAGTGATGGTTCTTTATATTGTTTCTAATTATGGTTTTTAATGAGAGGTAAAATGAGAAAAAAAAAACTTGAAGGAGAAAAGTGGGACCGTAGCATATTCTTCATTGGGCTTGAATCTGAAAATTGATGTGAACTTGCCATAGGAAGAATAAAATGAAGGGTAGAGAAATGTATGCTCGATTAAATTTAAATTGAGCCTTTGTTCTTGACCAGCCCTTAGCTATTGTTATGTTGGATATGTCTTTGGCAATAAGGCTGTTAGGGCCTACCAAAGAAATATTTTAAGCATTTTCATAGAGATAAATCATACTACAGGTTCTCAGTTTATTAAATTAGTTATTAAAATGGATAATTTGTATCTTCTTTATTTTATTCCTTTTAAGCTCTGAGAAATTTAGAAAGGTGTTTTTGCCCCATTATTTTGGTCTTAAAGACTGATTTCCAGTAGTACTCTTAGATATATCCTACATGACCAAAATAGTGTAAACAAATATCTAAGTAACTTTTTTATTTTACAGGATGAATCTAGCTATAAGTGGACAAGAGATGATCATTCTGGAAGTCGTCAGCCTGAATACAGGTAAAAAGATTAAAATAATAACTGCTTTGATACTTGACTCACTGAGATATCTGTTGTTAAAATCTAACATCAAGGTACATAGATGAAATATTTTTTATTAGGATTTAAAATTTTGAAAGCAACAAACTGTATTCTTTTTGTGTCTACGTAGTATAACAATAGCATTAATAGCTGGTGTTCTGTCTATTAGCATTTCATAATTGATAATATATTAAAAATATTTAAACTATTGATATATTATCAAATTATTAAATTATTCTTAATGCGTGGTATGGATTATAAGATATATTTTTGCTTACTTAAGGCATTTTTTCCGTAATACTTGGGTCATTACAGAGTGTCTCCTATCATAGATATCCTCTCAATTGCTTGAGAAAACACATTTTGTAAGGACCTCAATCATTGTGAGCTTTAGTTACTCACAGAGGCATCTGCTACAATAGAATGATAGTTTTTTTTTTTTTTTTTAGTGACATCACAGTAGTAGTGTTAGAAGTTACAAAAGGAGCCTTTTAAGGATCTTTTATGAACTGTCCGAGAATAACCCCCCAACATCATAGGCAAGGAGTCAACTGCCACAATGTATCCTAGGTGCCAAAAGTAGACAACAGGATTCAGTGGACCAGAGGAAGGCAGTTATTATTCCAACCACTGCAGTCAGCAGAGTGTGGTCGTACCAGTTCCCTGTCCCCAAGTACCACCAGAGTGATGTGATGGGTAGAGATGGTTGCTATGCACACAGTAGGATGCTCTTAGTTGAGGAAGCCAGGATCAAGAGCTTGGTACCTTTTGTAGCAAGAAGAAAGCAAACCAGTCCTTCTTTCCCTGGGAAGGAGAAGTCCCACAGTAGTTATACTTTGGTGGTCTTGACCTATTTAATTTGTATGTGACCATTTACAGAAACTGTTCAGTATCAGTGGTTGGTTAAATCTTGCAATTTGGCATCACGACAGGGATGTGTAGGGATGTTTAGAACTCATGACAGACTTTCTCGTTCAAAAGAAGCAGTAGAATAGATGCTGAAAACACTTTGATAAAATTTAATTACTGTGTTAAAACTAACAATAATTATAAAAACTGTTAGCCAGCTAAGAATGGAAGAGAATTTTCTTTATCTGATAAATGGGGATTTGCTATAGTGAATGGTAAAATTAGAAGCTTTGACTTTGGAATCAGAACAAAGCAATGATGCCTGTTACCAGAACTTCTATTCATAATGGTAATGGAGGTCTCAGCCCCCACAGTAAGACAAGGCAAATAAAGGTGTAAGTGTGAGAATGAAAGAAAGAAAACTATATATAGATGATGTGATTGTCTATACAGAAAAGCCAAGAGAGTCTATACATTATTAGAACTATTAAGAAATTAGCAAAGTTCAATATAATAAAATCAACTATTAGCAGTATAAATTAGAAAATATAATTTTAAAATATTTACTATAGTATGAAAACTATAAGGAGTTAATAGGAATAAATCTAATGATAGTGTGTGAGATCAAATAGATGAAATTAGGTCATCTCTAAAGGACATTTAAAAAGACCTGAAAAAAGGGAGCAACATATATGTGACATCCTTGGCTGGGAAGAGACAGTATCATAAAGATAACAGTTCTCAAATTCAGATGTGAATTCAATATGGTTCCAGTCTCAATTCCAGGATTTTTTTACATGGAAGTTGGCAAACTGATTCTAAAATTAATATGAAGGAGGAAAGAGCCAAATTGTAAAAATAATCTTGAAAAAGATGTGAAGACTCATTACATTATGTATGAAAATTTATAAAGCTGTAGTAATGTAGAAAGTGAAACAGAATAGGGAGTCTAGAAGCAAACCCAGATATTTGTAGGAGTTTGTGATATAGCAACAGCGATATTACAAATCAGATGGAGAAAGAATGAACTCATCAATAAATAATGCTGGGACAAACTGCCATCCATTTGAAAATAATGTGAAATTGGAAGCCTGGTGTGTCAAAGTAAATATCAGGTATTATAAGGATGTAAATATGAAAATCAAAACTGTCTACCCCCCCGCCCCCCCATAAAAAACATAAAACCCCCAAACCTTTTTTGATTAGATTAGCTAATGGTTTATATTTTCCCCCAAATAAACAGTTTTTAGGTTTATTTCAGTTTTTTAAATAACAGTTTCTCTTTTTCTCTTTATTCTCTCTTCCTGTCTTTTTTAGCATTTTACATTTTCCTCTATGTGTGTATAATTTTACATAAATTAAATAAATCATATATGTGACTCCCAGTCACCACAGCCATGTTAACAGCTTGGTATATATTCTCTATGTTTTTAAAAATTTAGGATATTTAATTGTTGTTAATGAGATCATGTTATACATACTTTTCTCTAAATTGCATTTCTAATTCAGAGGCATGTGGAAATCTTTGCAAGTTATTTGGTTTAACTTTTAATTAGATTCTTTTTAATGGCCAAGTAATGTTTCATGGTGTAATTTAGCTGTTCACCTATTGATGAATGTTGACTGGTTTCAGTACAAAACAGCGTTGCAATAAATTCGAGTACATAATGTCTTTATGAAACAGTACTTTAGTTTCTATGAGATTGATTGTCAGAAAGTGGAATTTCTGGATCAAAGGGCATATGAATTTTAAATTTTCATAGATGTTCTCAGTTTGCCTTTTAAAAGTCTATAGTACTTCAGTTTCCATTTTTTAAAAAAAATCTAAAATTTTAATTTGGATATTCACATTAATTTTTCTTTCCTTTTTATTAGTATAAGTAGAGCTTTGATATTTCCTTTAAGCATTGCTGTAATTGTATCCCATTGATTCTAATATATAGCAATTTTATGGTTATTCTGAGATATTCTAGTTATTCTGTGATTAGAGGATGTTCCTTGTACTCTTATTCTACTGTTTGAAATTTATTAGCCATTAGTTGATCAGTTTTCCTAACTACGATAGCATTGAAACAAAGTATGTTCTCTGTTATCAGGATATACAGTTCATTCTATACAATATATTCATTCATGTGATAAATATTGTGTGTCTGATATATGTCAGGTACTCTTCTAGCCTTTGGGGATAAAAAGTTCCCATTTTCATGAAGCCTACATACATACAAAACAATTTTTATGAAAAAAAATAAAGAGCATAGTGGAGTAGAAAGTGCATCTACTTCAAAACCTTCCTGTACCTTCACTTGATGTCTGGATGTCTTCAGCAAAATGCAGATTTTATGCTATCACAAAAGCTATAGCTTTTACTGGCTAGCATCTTTCTAGGTTGTATAGTATTCTCTATCAGGTGAGCTCATTTAAGAGCTACTACCTAAAAGACTTGGTGAATGTAAAATAACTATTGTTGTAGAAAAAATAATCACTGTATTATAAACCAGGCAAAGAGAGTAGTTGTGTAGTTATTGGTAAGAGAATAAGCTTCTGAACAATTAGAAAAACCATGCTAGTCAGTGTTTTTGTTTTTATCAGTGGGGCATACACAATTATTCTTTGTATTGTGGGAATAAAATTTTAGAACACTTAAAACATTTTATTTGAAACTGTTAAAATTTATAGAAATGTTGCAAGAATAATTAAAGAACTCCTGTACCCCTTCATCAGAGACCCCATTAATGTCTTCAGCAGTGTCCCAATAATGTGCTTTATAGTAAAAAGATCTAATTTGAGTTCATAGGTCATATTCTTGTAGACCTCTTAAATCTGGAACAATTCCTCAGTCTTTCCTTGACTTTCATGACTCACTGTTTTTGGCAAGAAGAATACAGGGCAGACACTTTAGAATGTTTCTTAATTTAGATTTGTCTAATATTTCTTCATGATTAGATTTAGGTTATGCATTTTTGTTGGGGCAGTCTCAGAAGTGATACTGTATTCTTTTTTATTGCATCCTGTTGTACCTGCTTTTGATTTGTCCTCTCACTGGTGTCCTTGATCTTTATCACTTGATTAAGATGGAATATGTGAAGTTAGCCTCCTCACATAAAATTAATAAGTGTTTTGTGAGAGATGCTTTGAAATTATGTGATTATGCCATACTTCATTCTCACTTGCACTCACTAGTTTTAGCATCCATTGATGTTTCTTGCCTGATTTGATTAATGTACTTTTTAATGGATGATTTTTTAATTAGACTGTTTCCATATTTATTTTGCAGGCATTCTGTTGTGAGGAAGAGCTTTCTCTTCTCTTCACCATTCCCCCACTTAAAAAAAAAACTTAATATCAGTGTGGACTAATGGATTCCTATTTTATTCAATGTGTTATAAGTCATTGTTATCATTATTTTCATGCCCAAATTTGGCCACCATGAATCCCTACAAGATTGTTTCTGTGTTTAAAAAAATTGTTTTTGTTGTATGGTAGAATATCCATAACATAAAATATGCCATTTTCAAGTGCATGGTTCAGTGGCATTAATTACATTTACAGTATTGTGCCACCATTACCACTATTTCCAAAACTTTTTTATTACCCCAAACAGAAACTCTATACCTGTTAAGCATTAATTCCTTATTCCCCCTTACCCTCAGCCCCTGGCAGCCACCATTCAACTTTTTTTATGAATTTGCCTATTTTAGGTATTTCATATTAGTGGAATAATACAGTATTTGTCCTTTTTTGTCGGGTTTCTTTCCCTTACCATGTGTTCAAGGTTTGTCCATGTTGTAGCGTATATCAGAACATTCCTTTTTATGGGATACATGTGGTAGCATGTATCAGAACATTCCTTTTTGTATGTATATACCACGTTTCGTGGATCTGTTCATACTCCAGTGGACATTTGGGTTATTTCCACATTTGGATTATTGTGAGCAATGCTGCAGTGAACATTGATGCATAAGTATCAGTTTTGAGTTCCTGTTTTCAATTCTGTTGGGCGCATACCTAGGAATGGAATTGCGGGGTCATGTAGTAATTCCGTGTTTAGCTTTTTGAGGAACCACCAAACTTTTCCATAGTGGCTGCACTGTTGTACATTTCTACTAGTGATATACATATAGGAGCCCAAG